GCTGATGGAAATTGCTAACCAGAAAAGGATGCTATAGAAAAAGCAAAAGATTTGGAGGGCAGCTGATACGTGACACTAAATAACAATAATGAGTAGAACATCAACTAAGTGTTAAGCAAATAACGTTCTACTTAAGACAGAACAGTAAAATTCACAGGCATGCCTGCACAAAAAATATTCTCCTGTGCTTGGTCACATGAAACCATGAGCAAAACTGAAGCTGTACATTTTCTATGTTAGGGAGAAAAGTTTTTAACAAGATGGGATGTGGTGGAAGGTGTCTGGAATAAACATTGAAAAATAAAAAGTTCGTTGTCTCAGAGTAAAAAGAGAGCAGATCCATTCAGACAGGCAGAACTGATGAAGAACATTGCTTTTTCAGACTCATAAAATGCAGGAACTGGCCAGTTGGCTACTTCATCTACCAAGAAGGGGCCAAATTGCTGCTTCCTTTCTTCCAGTGAAGGTGCAAATCTGAGTCTTCCCCCCCTGTCTTTCTTCCAGATTTATTTACAATGGAGCCTGAAGGAAACAAATACTGGTTTAATAAGTCATGTGTGGTGGTAAATCAGCAGGTTTACAACCTATTGATTGGGGGAATAATTTCATGTATTGCTTCCTTAAACTCCATGATCTTAAAAATAACCTAGATGGCATTGAAGGAATTACTAGTGATTAAGAGGGTTTTCTTTTATCATAAATCATGTAATAAGTTTAATATCTTTTCTGATTGACTGTAAGAGCACTGAAGATAAAAATCTGACTTAGAGTGTTCAAGTGGTTATAAAATTACAGTTCTGAAACAACCGTCCTTGACCAAAGTAGCATAGTTGCAGGGCGCACTGATTAGAAACTGAAACACTAATTACAGCTAATGATCAAACATGCCTCTTACCTACACTTAAATAAGAAGTATTAAAGAAGCAAAAATTTGTCTTCAGGCCAAAGAGTCCAGAATTACTACTGACAAAGCAGAAAGGTTTATAGCACAGAGATATTTCATTACCTCATTTGGCATTAGTGCTGCTTTAAAAATGAGCCCTGCTTATTTGGGAACGGTACAAAAATAAAGGCTTACCCAAAAGGAGCAGAAAGCATAAGCATCCATACTTTAGATAACATACACCTGTGAATATAACCCACAATAAGGAAAAGGAGGAGGTCTGGCTTTCCTGATAGAGTAAAAGTGGCTGTCCCATGGCCAGGCAGCTTGGGAGGCATTGCTCCATCAGCTGCTGTGACTGAAGTATCAACCCTTATACAACACTATGAGAAGTAAGAGTTGTCATACCACAGAATTATGCCTACACTTAAGTAAAAGTTGTTTTTCAGTTGGTAGTCTCTGATCTGATCACTACTATAGACTTTTATTTCCACAAAAGACAGAAGAGATTAAAACTTCTCAGGCTAAGCAGTGCGGTTGAGGGGAGATGCATATTTTTACCTTCCCCGATGGAAAGATAGATGAGCAGTGGTGATCTGAGTCAGCCAGCTTTAATATGGTCTGTCAGGAAACAATGGAATAAGATACGACATTTAAGGCAACACTTCTAAAAAGTGGCAGAACCACAACATGACTAGCCTGTGCAACTCATCAGCACAGTTTACCACAGCCCATTCCTGCAGGATTTGGAAGAATTAGATATGTGAAATGCTAGAAATGATAGTTTCTCCATCAGAATGAAAATAAACATATGGTACAAAGTTTCCAGACTTGCAGATGTCCCAGTCCTTCATCTGGGATGGTTCAATAGAGGCAGGATTTTCAAAAAACTGTTCCCTAGGTTGCCTTGCATTTTTATATGAAGCACCTTAGACCAGAATCTGTCAGAACTAATATACCACACCAGATGAAATGAACTAGCGCAATGAAAATGTATATATTTAATATAAACCCATCTCTGTCCATTGGTAATTAAGGCCTGGTCAAAAAAAAAAAAAAAAAAAAGTCTTCTCAAGCCCCTAAAGAATAAGATTATTCCTTGAGATGGAGGAGTCTTTCACAAGATTATTTGAACAAATGTGTGTTAGTCCCATGCAAAAGATTAAGAAATAAGTTCAGCTCTAACATAAATTAACTGATTCAGTCAAAGGCAATTGCAGTAACTGCAAACTTTCTCATTTTCCTCTATTCCACTCTCCTTCTAAGTCAGCAACTATGCTGTTTCCCTGTATGTGAGATTCCACCTTTCTTCACCTATTCCTTCTGCTTTTGTTACTGACCAGTTTGGCCCTGGTGTTTGAGAAAAGATGCAACTCAGTTATCAGCCTTTCCTTGCTTGGTGGAGTTTAGTTTACAGCTTCAGGAAACAACTGGGGGTCATGTTCATGCAATCTCCCAGGAGTGCAAAGAGAAGAGAGAGGAAATTCTAGGATCAGGTCCACACCCCATTTTCAGGCTCTTCAACAAAAGGGAAAAAGTAGGAAAACAAAACAAAACAACCCCACAACTTTTTTCTTTTTCAATCTGTATTAAGATAATGTGTCACTGTACTCTGAATGTTCTGCTTTCATACACTTGACTGGTGGAAGCCAGACAGGCTGAAGCTATCTAGTCACACTACTTGAAAAATCAGGTTTCATCAGGAGAAAACACTTCTTTTCATGTTTCAAAAATATACTTCCCATTTGGATAACTAGTCATCACTTAGACTTGAGCTCACAGGACCTTTAAGCTGAGCCCTGTTGCTCTGCACTAGTCAGCTTGAGCTTTGCAAACTCATGCAGCTCACTGCTGAGGCAGAGGTTTGATGTTGTTGTCATCAGTAGTAGGCAGGCTTGTAGAACTCCTGTCAGAGCTTTTTGCCTGCTGTCTTCCTCAATTCCTTGCCTGCGGGTTCAGGCAAGGACAAAGCAGTGAGTGGAGGTTGTCACTGCTCCATGCCTTGCACTTCTGTAAAGCTGCCCAACATGCCCCAAGTGAAAACTAGCCATTGACTGCACCTCAAAGGCTTTCAGCTGCCATAGTCTTCATTACATCCTACTAACAACTAGGAAAGGGCCCTGGCAGGGGCTAGGCATGCCTTTAGGAGGCTCCCACAATGAAAGGAGCAAAGCATTCAAACAAGTGTCTCGCTGTCTCTCTCAATTAAGCAGACAATATTACATTGTCACTGCTGTAAATACTTTAGTATGCCAAATTGTGCCGGTTTGCCTCTCAGCTCTCACCCACAGCTGTAATAAATCAGGGCAAGTGTGAGCAGCTTTGCATTTTAAGTAACCTCTAGGCATTGTATGCTGGAGCAGAAAAGTCTCCCCTGAGCCCAAATAGAAGTTGGTCCAGTCATGCCTGATAGCAGCCAGCCCAGATAAGACACTGAAGAGCAGAGCAAGCAGGCTGGGATATAGTCCTAATGCCCCAGAATTATCTGCCACCAGATTCTACATATTTTTAACCAAAAGTTGAAACACATATCTGGGGAGGTAAGGGACAGTTAGACTAGGTGAACTCCAGCATGAACCCTGTGCATAGCTCAGGGATTCAGCTCTGGGACTGAAAGACAGAGAGATTGACCCCCACGTGTCTTCAGCAGTTCTTCATAGATCTTTCTTCCATGTGCATGGAAGGGCAGACCAATGTTTTTTAGTTGCTGCAGCATCCTGCGGTGGCTACGGCTTTCATACCTTCTAGTTCAGCAGGTGGTGGAAGAGCAGCTGCTCTTCCACCATCTCTTATTTTGCTCTTATTTTATGGCAAACTTCCGGATATCTAAGCCAGTGGCTGCCATAAAAGTGAAGCTTGGAGGGAGAGGAGGGACTCTGACTGCTGTGGTGAAAAGTGATCCTCCCCACAGCAGTCCTGATTCTTGTCTTTCCTAGGCATCAGCAAAACCAACAAATTTGACATGCTCTCTTCATATCCTGCCTCTTCACATGCCTCTGGCACCTGGTTGGTTTTTTTTTTAGTAGGAGAAGCAGAACAGTCTTGGCCCTTCAACTGGAGGTAGCAAAATCCACCTCTTGGTATTTGCTGCTGACAGCAGCACAGCAGAGTAGGTTGACTCACCCTATTCCACTTTTAAAGTGAATCAGATGTCCTCATCTCAGCAGAGCAATGCCTATGAAAAGTGTGGGAGTACAGCATTGCAACATGTCTCTGAGAGCTCTTCACCACCACCACTTAGAGCTGCCCTCTCATTATGCAAAGTGGGGGAGCAATAAGATGTTTTCAGTACAAAAATTTCAGTGATCAGTCAAAAGATTTCAGTTACCAGACTTATGCTTTCTTTGCTTGGTTTGGCCCATGTGCATTTTGCTTGCCACATGGGCTAATGGAAAATATGACTGTTCTGAAAAAACGGGCTCACTCTGAATTTGAAGTGCAGCACACAGTACAAAAATGCCACTTGGACTTATTAAGAGATTTCTTGGGCTCATCTTACACTGAAGCAGTAACATTACACTAAAGCATTTACTGGTGCTTAGCCACACAGTAAAGCAACTGTCCAGAACTGGGAGCAGCAGTAGACAGTCCTGAGCCATAAACCTTCAGATTGTGATACCACCAATGGTAAGTTGATTTAAGGAGAAAGAGAACAAATCCACATTCCTGCTCTGATGAAAGCTCTACTGTGCCTCTGATCAGGCAGGTAGTTGACCAGGTGTGCGCTCAAGCAAAAAGCTCTCTTCCACTTGAGTAAGGGATTTTATCAAACTGTTGATGTAGGAAAGCCCTTGCTCTCTAGATACAAAATTCTGAAATAATTTTCATATCAAATACATTCAATTCTACTTTCTGAGGACTCCAGTACTCTCTCTTTCCCAGACACACAGAAATATTTGCTTGCTGCTTTTCCCAGTCACTTAAAACGCACAGCCCATTTTTATTCACAAGTTGAAACACACGTGTCTGGGAAGGTGATGGAGGGACAAATGGATGGAGGTGATGGAGACTGGACAAACTCCAGCACGAACCTCATTCATATCTCAGGGACTCTATAGCATTAAAGGAGAGGCAGGCAGGAGGCCAAAACCGTTTGTTCTTTTTCTTCTCCCATTAGACTCCTAAAGGTACCTGCTTGGAGTCAGTGAAGATTGCCATTGATACTGGTTACCGCCATATTGATGGTGCCTTTGTCTACTACAATGAGCATGAAGTGGGACAAGCCATCCGGGAGAAGATTGCTGAAGGAAGAATCAAGCGGGAAGACATTTTTTACTGCGGCAAGGTGAGAAGCTATATTTGGATTATTTACACTAAGTCCATAATTTCTTGTGAATGTGCTTTCTTAAGAATGCCAGTGGTCAACATCTGGCATACTTCCAGATCCAACATCCTTTATTTTTCTTTCCTAGCATTACCATAATGCTGCAGAGCTTTACAAGAACTGGATTTGCCGTTAAGCACAGGAATCACTGTTGTTTTCAGTTTAAAGCCCTGTTAGCATTCTGCTTAGTAGTATAGGTACCTGCAAGTTTAGACAATTGTTACATTCAGCGGTGCTTCCTAATCTGTTACTGTCCCATGTATTTTGCTGGCATGCACATTTATATAGTCACATACTGAGCCTGATGTGGATAATGATCTGGCAAATGAGTTATTTTCTGTTAGAGTAATTCCCCATACAGGTTTGCTGCGATACTGCACAATGAAAGGGGTGGGAGCAACCATCTGTGTACCAGGAAAACAGCAAGTACATTGGTACTATTGCCAGAAAACTACTCATCAAGCTACACCCTTAGTTACTGTATCACCTGTCATTAAAAAGTTCTAGGATGATGAATCAACTTACTTGGAGAGAAGATGTCATCACACTTCTGCTCTAGAGCAACATGGCTAAAGTAATGCGTGAGCTAGTTAGTACTTTAAAGCCTTGGCTCTAAGAGTTGATTCTCTCTTAGAAGAATGAGAGCTTTTGTCAGACACTTCCATCAGACAAGGGATACTACAATTACAATGACTATCCCAGGTATAAGCAATAAAGTTCATTGTACATTGCATAATAAAGGTCAGATGGCCCCAGAAAATTTTGTCCAGGTTTTAGTGAAGTCTATGGCTTCAAGTCCCCCTTCCTGCAGTGCTTCTTTGAACTTATCAACATAATATTTTCCTTTTCCTTTCCCAAATAAGACATAATCCACAAAAGTTATTCAACAACCTTGGAAATAAATACCATGGCTCCTAGGGTGAAAGATACCATGGGATAAAAGGCCCATTTTACTGTGAGCAATTTAGTTAAGCTCTATGATCTGGGAAACTAAGCTTCAGATGGGGTAGCTTACAGACCAAGTGGATTTTCAGCAGCTGTAGACCAATTTCCAAGTACAGCAATTTCCAATCTGTAAAGTATGCAACTCTTTTCCAAGTTCCCTGCTTGGGTCTAGTAGTAAGAACCTTGCCATCCTAAGAAAAACTTGGTGTTCTCACATTTTCCACCTTTATCAGGGTAGTCTCCCAGTCTCTCATATGCCAGATATGTTGATTTGAATCAGTTGAAATACTTTGTTTCAACTGTTTTATAGTTTCATTACTGCAAATTACCAGCAATATTCCAAATCAAAAACACAGAGTTGTGCCAAAAGGTTAGAACCAGATGTCCTAACAATTTTGAACCTTTTAACTTTCCCAACTGCTTCCCCTGCAGTTTATTTTCCCACATAAGCCTCTAGGTTCTGTGAAAGCACATCTCTTTGTAAAGTTTCCAAACTTATTTTATTACATCTTTCTATGTTCAGTTGTCTGATCTAATCACTGGAGTATTTTCCTAGTTGATAATCACCACTTAAACATTGAGCCACCTATAAAACTGCATTCAATTTGTTGATTGTAAGTTCAGTTTTCCCCTAAACTGCAGATCCTGCAAGCCACAGGGCTGCAACATGCAGTATCACAAAAGTCAGCACTTGTGGTTGCAGCCTGCCTTGTGACTCTGAGATGGGACATGTGGATTTATCTTTCTGTTGTGTCCTACTTGTGCTTGCCAAAACTTCAGGTGCTCAGGGTGCTCATTAGAGCATATCTGTAAAGACTTCAAAGGAAGAAGTAGAAAATATTTTGCAACCAATTCAATCCATCGCAATCCAGAATTTTCACAGGTTTCAGTGAACATTTTCACAGCAGCTCTGAACTTCCCAGGAGGAATGGGACTGGATATCCCTTGCCTAATGAGCTTTTGTATCTTTAGCCTTATGTACCTCACAAACTTGAGAGTTACAAACAAGTACCAAGCCACTGGTAGGTACCTCAGCCACAGGTTGGTAACTGACCGATACAAACTGTTGCATCTTCTAGGAAACATGGTAGTTACAGTAGACCACTCTCAGAAGCTGTTTGCACATCAGAAGTTAGTTTTCTTTTCAGCCTTGCTGACCCCAAAAGCGCTGGAAATTCCCAAAACCTTTCAGATTTAAGCCCCTCATGCAGATAACTTCTTAAGCAGAGATGATGTTTTGGCTTCAACTGGAAGCTGGTTTATCAGCAGGAACTAACAAGAACAGCCCTACCGAGTGGCAGTGTTACTGGAATAGTGACTTGGTGCATTCACGCTGCATCTGCCAGTTGAAATCATCAGCACTTGCACTTGGCTCTTGCTGCTGGCTGGCTGATCAGGCAGAGCAGCTCAGCATCCAGAAATTTTAGAGGTTTTATATCAACTGCCAACATCTCACTTGGCTTATATTGCAAGACCTTTTGCGTCTCCTCTTTCATCCCAAGATATTTCTTTCATTAAACTAGAAGTAACATTTCCAGGAAACATGGTGTCCTGAAATGCCAAAGCCAGCTGGCAGCTTTGACTGCTCAAACATCTACATGGGTTCTACTTAGGTAGATAACACAATAACTTGTAAAAATCATGAAAACAGTTATGAAACTCTTAAGTTTCCATGGCATCTATGTTATTAACATAGTACAAATGTTTGCTATTTCTAAAGGCTGTTTCTTTAGAACTTTTGCTGTTTGTTCAAAAGAAGTATATTCACTGGAAAGGACTAAGCTCAATAAGACTGCGGTAGAAAGGGAGCTAGGAAAAACTGCTTCTCAACTATCAACATACTTCAGGTTACTAAATTTCCAAAACACAGTAATGAAACAAAATAAACATCAAGAGTATACAGACTCATTTCCTTAGTTATATTCAAGTCCATCTCATTTTACATATGCACTGCTTAAAAAACACCCAGACCAAAGGCTTTCAGGAAATCCACTGGAACAGCTTAAAACTCTGAGAGGAAGATCTTGGTCCCTTTACTGTAGTGCACCTCAGCCTGTATAATCACCATCTAGTGATCACAAAGTCTTCATATCTTGCAAAATACAAATGGTCAAGGTCTGGTACGGATTTCCAGGTGCCAAACCCTGTTTTGGTTCATCAGCTTAGGGCAGGGTCAAATGTGCTGTGCTCAACACAACTGAACTTAAAGATAACACACCCTTGTCTCTGCTGGCAGAACTGAGCAGATTGTTTCCCCGAGGAACATCTATAATATAGTGTAAAAAAAGAACACACACCTAAAATAATTTAAAGCTCACCTAGGCTCTGTTCTTTGATACCTATAACCATAATCTTCCCCTGAAAATGGCAATTCAAGTGTTTCATGTCTCAAGAACAAATTCATTCTACACCTTGGCATGCAGTGACTGCCAGCTTTGGTGGCAGAACTGACTAGACAATGACCATACAAACAAACTGTAGATTTTTCCAGCCAATAAAGGTGCCAAAAAACTCAATATGACTCCTCATGTCAGTTCTGTGAATTGAAAAAAAAAGGTAAAATAGCCCAGTTTATTGTGTGCAGACAAATGGCACTTTAAACTTTCCATTGTGTGTTAATTCCGGGTTTTGTCAATTTTAACTACAGCAATCCATTTACAAAGAGCTCTTGGTTACTAATTACCATGCTATGTTATTATCCTTACAAGATAATTTGCATCAGTGGAGTTCAGCTAGAGATAGTACTGAAAGCTCATCAACTAAGCACACTCCATAGCAACATCAGGGCATAACCCTGCAAGGAAGCAGTTGTGATTAAGGAGGTTGAAAAGGCTCTAACTAGTCACACCTGCATTGCGGTAACTAAACATTATACATCTTTCAGTGAGGACCAGGGAGTAAACTAAAACTTTCCTAGATCAGGCAGTCACTCAGGCTCCACAACCACAGGAGAAAACCAAAAGATTCTCTTTGTCTCTTTGTGCTGGGTGCTTGGCTGTTCAACAGCTAACTCACATGATGCGAGCTTCTGCCTTCAAGCATAAAACTGACCACAGATTTCTTGTGGGAACAAAGTTTTCCAGTGAAAGCATATGCTTGGAAAGCTCAGAAAACAAAAGGAATCTGTCTAAGATCATTGAGCAAGGGTTTGCAGTAAACTCAACTCAGAAGATCCTGTGTTGTAATAAACAAATATGCCGTCTTTACTTGACAGTCCTGGGCAAGGATTTCTGCCTTATCTGCTACACCTGACAGGATAAATCCCCTCACCTCTGTCTTGCACTGTGCATAACAGGCTCTGACAGAAAGATAAGACTGTGTGTGTGCGGGGTGGTTCAGCTGGAGGATGCTCACTGTTACTCCTGGCACCCAGAAAAGAACCTGTGCTTGTTTCCCCAGCTGTGGAATACCTGTCACCCCCCGGAGCTGGTGCGTCCCACGCTGGAGAAAACCCTGAAGATCCTGCAGCTGGACTATGTTGACCTCTACATCATTGAGCTTCCAATGGCTTTCAAGGTAAAAACCAAAATTAACCAAAGAAAGTGCATGATTGGCTTCAACCAAGGTCTCCATGTAGCATCTTCCTTGCAACTTCCAGTCCATGTTAAAAATAGCCTTTTGGCCAGATAATGCTTGATATATACTGCATAAATACATTTCTGCTCACTGCCCACACAGGGAGGCTTGTACGTGGTATGAGAACAATTACTGACAGTTGTTGTGTGGGGTCTCTCCACGGGAAGGACAGTTCTCCTAGCTGGGGTTGAACACTTCCTCACTGACAAATTACTGTAGCTGAATACTGAAGCAGCACATGTGTCTTGATCCTGAGCCATGGGCAGGGAGTCACTGATGGAAAGTAGTTATACAAAGCAGCAAAGGGGCATTGGCAAAGTTTGGAGGGGGGGCAAGGGAAAGTGGAAAAAGCCAACAAGTTAATTTCCTTACTCTGTCCCAAAACCAAAGTAGTAATAAAGCCACTGGGCAAATTGTAGTTATAATCTCCTTGAAGTCCACTGCCTCTCTTGCACAGCTTCAGTAGACCACAGCTGGTCCCAAACACAGGTTGTCCATCTCTCACACTTTAAAGTTAAAGCCTGATACTCCCTCCTACTGCTGATTCTGGGCAGCTTGTAGCCAAAACCTTTGAGTGCCAGGAGCTCACATCAGAGTTGTATGCTTGTTTTGCAACAAGCTCTTGAAGGTCCTGAAAGTTTCTTGTTTCATGGGATTTTGTTTCTTGTTTTACAGTTTTTGTCTGCAATTAAATGATAGAAAAGCAAATTAAATAATACTGCAATTAGAAGAATGAGATTCAAAACATATTTAAGTAGGTTTGAACCAATTAAATCCTTTTCTTAAAGAGAATAGGGTCAGGCAATTAGGTGGCTAATTGTTTCTGAGGGATATTTAAGCTGTAAACTGGCCTCTTTCTGCAAGAAAGGTAGTTCTCTTGTTATTAAAATTGTGTTTTGCTACAGACTCCAAAATGCCAGAAGCATCACGTAGGAAGTGATATACCAATGAAGCAATCACTTCAGACCTGCAGTTCTTTCTTCCCCAAGGAAGCCCTATCCCATTAAGACCTGTATAGGAGTAACTGGGCTCAGATATTAAAACTTTATTTATATGGTCCCACGTATGGAATCCTTTGGGGTACATTTTTTAAAATTTCCCACCGCTTGCAATTTCCTGTTTCCCTCTGCTTGTGTTTGTATTCTCCAGTAGTTCATTCTCCCACATAGTGAAGGTCATTGTCTCACAATATAAAAGTATAGACAGCTGGCTTTAAAGTAATGTACATCTGACTCCCTGAGGCCTGTATCAACAATCTGAGTTGTTAAAGGAGTATCGGTCCTAGAGATTCATTCATGTTCCCCATGAAAATGGAGAAAAAAAGAAGTTGCTTTCTGCCTGAAAAATAGATATTTTTCTGTGCCAAATAGAGAAAGAAAAAGAACCTATCCTTTTGCAGTGGTGACAGGTTTTCTTTCTTTGTTCCCTCTCTCACAAATACACCCATCCTGCATGCAATGCTTGCCTTTGGTGAGGAGTGTGCAGGTGTAACACTAACAAAATCCTGCTCTGCCCTCATTGCAAACATTGGTGCTTTACTGTCTCTCAAAAGCCTTCTAGCAAAAGCAGTCACTGCTTGAAGCCAGCGTGAAGACAAAACTTACAGTCCTTGAAACTGGTAAGAAACATGCCCCTGCAAAGCCAAGCAGTGTGAGCTGTTACAGGGACTTTTAGGCTGATGACCAGTGGAACAGGTCTCCTCTGGGCTGCTATGTTCCCTCTGCTTGGGTAGATCATACTCAATGGCAGGTTTTCTAGGGGGTTTTCCTCAGATGACTGATCCATTTTTCAATGGATCTCTCAAATGATCTCCAAATCCCTCCCAACTAAATTATTCTGTGATCTAGTGGGAAAGAATGTATTTTATCCTTATATTGAACAAGTCTCATCCAAGTATCTTCTTGTCATTTTAAGAGGATAAATCAGAACAGATCAATGGCCTCACTGTTTGACTTCCTATCACCTTCTGTTTGTGCAACAGGCATTCGCAAGTTGTTAAAATTGCTCTTTTGAGAAAGCCTGCTTGTCAAAGACCATTTTGTGAAAGTGATGGGATGTGCAGACCTGCCTTCCAGCATCTGTGTGGGTGAGGAAATTATTGTAATGGGAGTATGGTTTTTCCTCTCAGAGGTTACCAAGTGCTGTCTTTTAAATATGCAAGTTGTCTGGTAGCATTTGGAGTGCCTTCAGACTTTGAGCATGACATGATACAACATGATCCCTGCACAGTGGGAGTGATGTGTGGTGTTGTCCCACTTACTTCAGCGCTCATATTGCTACATGGTGGGCAGCTACCTTACATTTAGTCTAAAGTGTGTGGCTATCTCCAGGGGAACTGTGAGACAAGAACTGCTGTGATGTAGTCCATGAGAAATCAAAGCTGAGAAATGTGACCTTTACAAAGACCCGGTAACCACCATCCTGTAACCACCAAAACACTACCTTTCTCTCAGCATTTTATTACTCTTTACCCATCTGCAGACAGTTCTCCCATTCAGGAACTCCCTTGTAATAAAAGGTAGCTTGGCAGAGAAAATATTGCCTGGAGACTATTGAGCAGAGTCAACTGTACTTCAGCATCTTGTATAGTCCACTGGAGGCAGGAGGAAGGATTAATCCTTGTAGAAACCTACAATAGCTGCCACTACTTAGTCAAGATAACTTAATCTTCAACCAGTGTTCATCCTAAGTTTGTTCACTTTTTAGAACACAAGTGATAGAAATAGAGGGAAATGGCGGCATGATAAAGCAGCTAATGTAATTGCTTTGTATTGACTACTACAAAATAGTGTTGAACAGAAGTTAATAAATTAGAAGTGGATCAGTGTAAAAAGGTCTTGAATTCAGACTCATCCCCTGAACTCAAAGAAATCCAGCTGCTATGCATTGAGCTTGGAGAGTCTGCTGGGATAACATGGGGATGAACAGTTGCTTCCATAACACCATGGGGTAGTTTTGTAAAAAGGGCTTCTCCACCTCAAGCTATGATGTCAATTTGTCTTCTAATGGAAAAAAAATGACCCAACAGCCATCTACCTCCTTCTAATAAAGACTTTTTTTTTTCCAGCAAGACATAGAAACAAAGGCAACAAGTTGTCTTTGTGAAATTCATTGAGAAAAAACAGCACACTTGGAGAAGACAGGCTTATGCCTGTAACTTAGACATTGGCCTCTGAAATCTGAGGCTGTGTTTTTCTTAGGCTCACTTTTCCCATGAAATGCATTGAGTTTGAACTTGACTGAATTTGGAGGCGCCAGTTACGGATCATATTAGTCACAGATGCATATTCCCAAGGAGTTACCACGTCAACATCTTGTACCCAGGCCTTTGAAGTGTAGCAGTTTGCCGTCAGATCAAATGTCAAACATCACTGAAGAGGTTTTCATGGGAAAAAGGTGAAACTGTGATCAGACAAAAGAGGGGGGAGATGTTAATGCATTCCTGCAACAACAGTGAAGTGACCAGCAAGCAAGAGAAAGCTATGCTTATGAGCTCTGAAGCCGTGTTTGAGGGGTATAGAGATAGGAAGAAAGAGTTCCTAGTGCCCAAAGAAAGGTGGTGAGTGAACTTAAAAGGTTCACAGCCTTTACTATAGCTACACATGTACTAGTAGAAAAGGGCTGTTGGAAACGGTCCCTCCAACAACTGGGAGGTGTACTAAGCTGGTACTCTTCCCAGGTGGCTAAGCAGGATCAGGGGAAGGACTGGGAAGAAAGGAGAAAAAGAGTGTAAGAGAATACAGGCTGGTACTCTAACCCAGTCCTTTGGAAGGAGTCCGGTCCTTTGGATGCCACAACATAAAGTTTATTGGAAAACAAGGCCATCCAGGAACTTCTGAGTGTGCACTCATGTGAAGTGTATCCAAGGATGATCTAGCAGTTGGGCATGTGGTAAGCCCAGCACAAATGACCTGTTGAACTTTTGGTGTTTCAGAAAATTTGTGATTTTTTTGTTGTTGTTGTTTGCTAGTAGAAACAGCCTCTGGAAAAATCTTTGTTTTGAGGAGTGAATTTTTTTCTTTAAAGCACACAAATGTGGTTTTACTTTTCAGCCTGGAGATGCAATCTACCCAAAAGATGAAAATGGAAAAATTATCTACCATGAGACAGACTTATGTGCCACTTGGGAGGTAAGCAAACACAGCATCCATACAGACATGCTTTAAAATCACAGATCTTCATTCTCAGTTTTCCTTGTGGCCTTCATCACTAATGCTGAGGCATATTGACAAGGCAAATGGATCAAAATCTACTAGCTCCATGGATAAATTTTTATGCTTGTAAAAGTATGGGTGCTGCTTCTTGCCATCACTTAATCATTTTTATAACAAAATAAAGCATTGAAAGAAGGAATGTAAATGTCAGGTGCTTCAACAGAGTGCACTCTACATACGCTAGTTGTGGTCCCTGTCTCCTCTATCAGATCTTTACAGAAGGAGAAAGTCACTAAGAAGTGACTGCATCCTCCTCAAAAAAGGAAGCTTTTCACCGTCAAGAAAAAACAGAATTTGCCCTAAAGCTCACCATGAAAAAAAAACAACAAACCAACACAAAATGCACAAAAAAATCCAACAACAAAACCTAAACTTCTAAATTCAATTATCAAATGAGAACACAAGGTTTTTCTGCTAAGAAAACTTGGAGGGGAGTAGCATTTGCCTGAAAGATTACATCCTAAATTTATTTCTGCTGCACTCTAGTTCTTCAACCAGATGTTTCCTTAAGCTTACTGCCACTTGGCTTCACAATCTCAGGTGAGACAGGAAGTGAGATTAGCAACTTCCTCACATTCCTGCCTTTCCAAGCCTTTGACTCACTTTAATCCATGGCCAAAGCTGGTCAGTTCTCCATCTGCAATAGGCCTGTTGCAGAAACATCCCTAATTCAGCGCAGTTCGCACCAAGGGAGATAACATGGGCACATTTCACTTCAGCTTGCACCATCCAGAGCTGGACAGTTTGTCGCAGTTTAGCTGTACTTGAGGTAGAGCAGATAAAGATGGAAAATGGTGAAATTCTGAGTGCAAGTTCAAAGTGGAAGAGTGCCAGGAGCAGGCTTGGGCTTTCCCCTGGCAGCTGAGATACCCAAGCTTCATCTCGGGGGGAATGGGGACTTCCACATTAGCTGTTTATTTACGCTTGTCTTTGGCTGATGCAGTTCATTCCTTTTATTCACAGGCTAATTGCTCAAGTGTTGAAAGCAACAGTTGTTTGGTCACTGTTATGTTTTTATCTTCAAGCTAGTGCTTACTATAAAGAATGTAGTAGGCTGCTCTCTTCAGCTAATAAGCTAAGAGAAAAATAGGTGGCAGTGAGTGCCTGTAACAGTGTCAATCTAAATAAAACTGGCTAAACTCAATCCAAATAATTTCACTCTCTCAATATGGTGCTGGCAGGCAAAAATGGCTCCAGATGACTGTATTTGCTGACTTGTCACTGAGTGATACAAAGCATATGAGGCCAAGTAGAGGTCATCAAATACATAGTGCTTCTTACCTCCCTGCTTTCAGCTCCCGTGAGACAGAAAGAAATAACAAAACCAGCAGGAGGGGCATGCAGCTCCACAGTGGGGTCTGCTCTGTCTCAAGCAGTCACTGAATTATTTGTATGTAGACTTTCTGGGAGCAAAGTGGGAGACCATAGGAAAGGAACCTCTTTCCCCTCAACATCCCAGCAGATGAGGCTAATGAAGACCAGGGCATGTGCTCATATCCAGTATTCTCAAGGTTATTACAATTTGCCTGAAGTGCAGAATATTTAGAATTCACTCTCTGTATTTCCCCCCCCTCTCTGTACTGTACTGAAATTTTCTGTGCTGGTTTTGTGATGTGCCTTGCCAGATATTTAGGGGATTTCACGGAATAGAGATTTCATATGAAAAACTGCTGTACAATCAAAAGGAATAGACTTATCACAAAAGCAATCTGTTCTGTTCACTCTCACTTCTTCAGCTTTGAGGCAATGCTAAAGCAGCATAAACTAAAAAGACTCCCTATCTGTATCTCAGATTAATCTTTCTGCTCTCCAGACAAATTTTACCTTTACAGGAGGTACGAAATACTAGGGGCCTGGAAACAAGCCTACATGGGAACGGAGTTTAGAATAGTAGGAAGGTAACAGCCCTTACGAGTTCTGCTGCAGCAAAGGTTTGTCTGCAAACTCAAGGATGGTCTATATTCCACCTATCTCTCAAACACATGCTCCAAGGAGTCAAGCCAACACATAGGACTACACTGGTCTTTTGCTTTCTTTGCAGGCTATGGAAGCATGTAAAGATGCAGGCTTGGCAAAGTCTATTGGAGTATCTAATTTCAATCGCAGGCAGCTGGAGATGATCCTGAACAAGCCAGGACTTAAGTACAAACCTGTCAGCAACCAGGTATGACTGCAAGCCAAGGGCAGTGCCTACCATGGTGCCTCTGCCCTGTAGGGAATGCAGCGGTATGCACAGCCTAAAACCACCATGGGCAGAAAGGTGACATATGCTTTGCCACAGATGCTGCCCTCCATACTGTCACACTTCCATTGCTAGCTTGAAAAGTATTACTCATCCTACCTAGGTTAAAGATAAATATAGGAAGGTGCCGAAACAATCGCTTTCTCTGTTCCTGCTCCAGGACTATTAAACTATTGCCTTTGTGCCAAAGCTCCATAATAAGGTTGAATTCTGAGTCAATGCAGACCTTAAATCACTTCTATGTATCTTGTTTCAAGTTCAAAAAATTCCCCAGACAAACCATTCAGAGCTAACCAGTCCTCGATGAAGCCATGTCTACCTCAGCTGACACCAAACCAAAACAACCTTAAGTATCAGGGATCCTGAGTCACTCTAAGATTCTCAAGCTTCAAAGCCATTAGAAGTAACTCCTAAATTCCCCGTACTTGCTCTCTTGTGCCTTTTCTATAAGACATCATTAAGAATTAGAGAAAAAATGAAGTTAAAAAAGAGACTTCATTAAGCAACCACATGTGAGCTGAACAAGCCCATGAAGATGACGGGCATGTCCAAGTTAAATTACAGCAGTGGGGCTCAGAGGAGGCTGTAAGTGGCAGTGACCCATCTGAATGCCCAATACCTTTGGCTCTGGCATTTGGCAGGTCATTGCATTTCCTAGAATCACAGGGTAGCCCTTCTGACTCATCTGGCACAAACGAATATCCACATTAGTAGTATCAGAGAAGAGGCCAGAGACCAACTGGGACCAAATTCCCATCCTCAGCACGTGGCCTGAAGAGCTAGGATTGACTTGAAGCAGGGCAGGGGCATTGGCCGTGGCCTTCATTTCTGTCTTTAGCTTGCAGGGAAAGGCAGCCTGTGAAAGGAGGAAATTCCAGAACCCTTCACTGGTATTAACATGCCCGGGGGGTGCAAAATGTAATTGCCGTTTCTGGCGTGCCCCTAAGACTGCACTGAGCATTGCTGGTGCTTCCTGGGTCAAGGAAAACCAGGCAAAAGATTAAACACAGCTTAGGGCAGCTAGCCAGCAAGCAAGCATAGATGTGCCAACTAGCTTCAGACAGCCTGCAAACAGTGGTTGCTCTGTCACCTTGTAGACATCCCTTTCCCAGAGACTGTGAGAGCACAGCCAGAAAAATCCCTGCCTGTAAGGGAACAGTATTTGCAATGTGGTAGGGCAAAGCTTGTAACAAGGTCATAAACACTACGAAATATCTCTATGAAATACCTTTATATCTGGAACAGCTTATGCCAACACTTCCCCTAAAATCAACATTAGATTAGTCATCCTGAATGCAAGAGGCAGAGAAACAAAGAACTGACCCACATGAGATGCGTTGTTTTCTCAGCCTACTTCTCTAGTGAGCTTCCCTCGCCTCCATCCCCCACAGCTATTGCAACCTTTCAACTAGGGGCCAATAAAAATTCCTTGCAGCCAAATCATAATCACAGGTGTTGATCTGCTGTCTACCAAAACCCAAAAAAAAAATCACCCAGCAGCATTCAATTAAAACAGTAACCACAGACTGAGTTTCCCTATTCCTTAGCATACATCCTTTCCTGAAAGGATCACCTGGTCTGTATCTCTCACAAATACTGGGACACCATTTGCTTCTGTATCTTGTCCTGTTGATTAATCATTCTTTCTACATTATTCTTGTAGGTTGAATGCCATCCCTATTTCACCCAACCCAAACTCTTAGAATTTTGCAGACAGCATGACATTGTTATTGTTGGGTATAGTCCACTGGGAACATCCAGGGATGAATCATGGTGAGTCCCCATGTTACTTTCTAATAGAAGGGCAATATCCAGGGAAAGAATAATGGTTCTCCACTGCTGGGACTCCATGCATAATATCTTTGTCCCCATTTTTCAAAGTAGTTTCAGATTTTAATGTTTAAATATTACTGTTGTGAATGTAAACTTGCAAACCATCTGCTGCATGCTGTCACTAAAATATGCCAGGTGTCTGTACAGGAGGTTACCTTAGTTCTCTGACAGAAAACAAGGGTCTAACTGGGGCTGAGGCTTAAGTGAGGAAGTGGAAACTAAGTCAATGTTAGGATATCACACAAGAAGTCACCTTTGACAGCCCTCCAATTTAAATGCCAGAGCTTTTCATCCGTCTTTCACATTACTTGTCAAAATAGGGGCAGCATTTTATCCATAAACAAGTAAATGCCTCTATATTTTGGCATTACAGTTTTTTTATTTTCTTTTTTTTCCAACTTTCTTCTAGGGTAAATGTGTCCTCCCCTCCTTTACTGAAGGATCCTGTGCTGAATGCCATTGGTAAAAAGTACAACAAGACAGCGGCGCAGGTTGCTTTGCGTTTCAGCATCCAGAGAGGGGTGGTGGTAATCCCCAAAAGCTTCAATCCACAGCGCATCAAAGAGAATTTCCAGGTAAATGTATTTCGATGGTGCATGGATGAATCCATTTACACTCACTTAGCCCTTACAGAAGGTGATTTCCGCATTTTTTTCTGTAGGCTTGACCAACGTCAAGCTTTGCCACATTTGATGCTTTTTGTCCCCATCACTTAATGGTACCATGCTAAAGCAGTGACTGAGCAAAATAAAGGATATTCTCATGTCTTTTAACCCTGTGGAGTAGCTAAAGTTCCAGCTGGTGCCATATCCCAGAGCACCAGTTACTGCAATGAGCAGCACGGGTGAGATGCAGTAATTCAGTAGATCAGCAGACCAAGGTTTCTAGCTGCAGGTAGTCAGTAATGACTGACTTGTTCTGCTCAATCTTCAGGTGTTGGGCAGCTATGTTAGGGAAGGGTTGCTGCATAGAGGTGTGCCAGAAAGGTTTATAACCACACCACCAGAAAGCATCTGGCTTTACCACTACACTCAAAAAAGATGACGAATTAATTCCCATGACCCTTGCAGCATTCAGCACCCGCACTGCTCCCTAGTTTTCCTACCAATGTATTGCTTTCAAAGCTGGTGGCCCAGTGCTTGCAAGAGTGCAAGCAAATGGGGCTGACTTAATCATGTCCTCAAGACTTTCCTATAAATGCAAGTACAGATTCTGGGGGAGAGAGGGAGGATGGGGCATTGTACGTCTGAAATCTGGAATATATGAATGTTAATTACAACAAGAAGTGTAAACCTATGCCTAACATCTCTTTCCATTAGATCTTTGATTTCTCCCTCACTGAAAAAGAGATGAAAGAAATTGAAGCCCTGAACAAAAACGTTCGTTACGTGGAACTGCTAATGTAAGTCCAGAAGGAATCCTAGATCCTCACAGAACATTCCCTTTTTTTCAAAGGATTAAAAATAAAAATAACTTCCTTTTTTTTTTTTTACATAAACAACCTCATTTTAAGGTAAGGCTTAATGCAGCCTTAATATGCTCCTGGGGCCATTGCAAAAATAAGCGTGCAATACTTGCTTACAGCTCATACGTCAAAAGCCCACCTAGTAGAGAGTGACTGTATCTGGCTATTCTATCCCTGATCCACCTCCTTAAACACTTGCTGCTTTATGTTGGAATGACAGTCTCAGTCACTGACAAAGTGTAGCATTACCCCTGTCTAGCAGTGTGGGAATCAGAGTTGAAATTCAAATAGGAGCATTTTCTTGTCTTTCTACTCCTTCACTCCAGTGCTCGGCAAGCCATAATGCTGCTCAAGTACAATTGTTTATAGATTTTAAGCCTAGTGTTACCATGTGAAAATCTAAAATTGAAGACCACTGCTATAGATAGCCACAGGGCTAATTTAGGGAGAGCTATGCCATCCAGAGGGACCTTGACACGCTTGTGAGGTGGGCTGATGCCAACCTCATGAAGTTTAACCATGCCAAGTGCAAGGTCCTACACCTGGGTTGGAGCAATCCCAGGCACGGCTACAGGTTGGGCAGAGAAGAGATTCAAAGCAGCCCTGTGGAGAAGGACTTGGGGGTGCTGGTTGATGAGAAAATGAACAAGAGCAGGCAGTGTGTGCTTGCAGCCCAGAAAAGCCAACCATATCCTGGGCTGCATCAAAAGGAGCATGACCAGCAGGTCGAAGGAGGTGATCCTGCCCCTCTACTCTGCTCTTGTGAGACCTCAACTGGAGTATTGTGTGCAGTTCTGGTGTCCTCAACATAAAAAGGACATGGAATTGTTGGAATAAGTCCAGAGAAGGGCCTCGAGGATGATCAGGGGACTGGAGCACCTCCCATATGAAGACAGGCTGAGAAAGTTGGGGCTGTTCAGCCTGGAGAAGAGAAGGCTGCGTGGAGACCTCATAGCAGCCATCCAGTATCTGAAGGGGGCCTATAGGGATGCTGGGGAGGGACTCTTCATTAGGGACTGTAGTGACAGGACAAGGGTTAAAACTTAAACAGGGGAAGTTTAGGTTGGATATAAGAAGGAAATTCTTTCCTGTTAGGGTGGTGAGGCACTGGAATAGGTTGCCCAGGGAGGTTGTGAATGCTCCATCCCTGGCAATGTTCAAGGCCAGGTTGGATGAGGCCTTGGGTGATATGATTTAGCATAAGATGTCCCTGCCTATGGCAGGGGGTTTGGAACTAGATGATCTTAAGGTCCTTTCCAACCCTGACGATTCTATGACTCTATGTTCCTTCTTATTACCTAATACTTTGGTTAGAGCATCAGAATTTGCCTGGACAACTTTCTCATTAAAGACAATACACCTTTAGTGACCACAAGTGGTCAAAAACTTTGTTTCAGCCTTTCCTCTGACACCATCTTCTTCAGCAACCTCCCTCTCCTGCTGTCATGTTGAGTTGTACGTTCTTATATGGAAAGCAGAAAGCCATGCAGCTTGTTTGACTGCTAGATGACTTCCCAGTTATCCAAGAACTAACACGGCTTGATCTCTTGCTGCTTATGATCTAAAGCTTACTACCCAATGTGGTTTTGCTTCACCACTCCAGAAGGCTCAGTCTGACCCAACTTTCTCTTTCAGAGAATGAGGCCATTTGTTTTTCCTTCAGTTCAACAACATCTACAGTTTATGGCCAAATTTTATGCTTTCCCCTTTTCAGGGCACTCAATGTGTAGCAAATGCTAGAGATTCATTTCCATGCATTTCTCCTGGATTATCAGTGTCTTGACAAACTGTAGTGTGCTCAAGCACTAAAATTAATGCAAAGCAGAATAGCAGCATCAATAGCACTCTTGCTCAAAAGAGGAGGGAACAACAGAGCACACAATTGCTCAAAAGAGGAGGGAAATGTTGCAAAGGGACAAATAAACCACTTACTGTGCTGTTACGTATGATAGGAAATATGAACTAATTTAAAAGCATCATAATGGAGTTTGTCTTTCATATTTAAGCTGGGCCAGGTGCTCTGAAGCTTTAGTTTCTTAAAATTCAAAATAGCCTTCCATCAATTAGCACCACTTTGGTTCCAGAAGGCTTCTTACAAATGGGCTAGCAGATTGCTATGTGTGTTTTGGTATTTGAAATGGTTTGTTTTTTCATAGCTAAATTAAGCTATAAACACCATTTAAACTTTTAGTGTGTATACACACAAAATGTAACCTTGGTGCAAATCCAAGAGCCTTTTTTTCAGAAGCAAAACTAAAGATGTAAATGCCCACAAGAGAAGAACTTTCTAAGCCTAATAAATGACTAATAAATGCTTTACTTTATTAGACTTAATTTGGTCATGGGAGGCCACTTAGGACAAGGAAAACAAAAGGCATAGGATGGTTACTGCCAGCTCTATTTTTCCACAGGAGTGCCATGTTTGGGGAAAATGCTTTAATACAGTGTGACTTCAACTGTGAAAAATGGCTTCTTAGAAAAGTGATGTTGCCATGCAAGGAGCAGCTAAACATACATCTGCCCACTCTGTCTTCTCACACTACAGTGTCTGGAATTGACACTGCAACAGATGAGTTACCAACCTAAGAAGATTTCTTGTTTCATCCAGCAATATGTATCTGAAAAGTCAAACCATCATACAGAAGGAATTCTGGTTAGTCAACTTTGTGCAAAACCTTCAGCTGCTGTGATGCAAATGCCAGCAGGAATGGAAAAATCTAGCTTTTTCCTCTGGCTCTTCCAGTTATCAACTACCATGGGTACTGTGTGCAAATCGGTTGTTTGATGGTGTGAGTAAGCCCATATGAACAGGATATTGCAGTCATAAGGAAAAAGTTAGCAAGTTAAGTATTGAATAGAAAATGAAGGTTTTGTAAAAAAATATGAGTATTTCAGGAAGTGCCAGTCTGAAGTGGTTTCTTCTCCCCTTGGAGCAATCTAGAAGCATTGTGCTGGGCAATTTTTACATTAATCCATCAGCCTATCTTGTGCTTCTGGTCTCTGCTATGGATATTCTTCCTTACCAGTTATTCCAAGCTGCATTGACTCCTCTGAGTGCATCATTTTCACTCAAAGGACTCAGACCTTTGAACATGTGCGATCTGATTAGCAAGTGTGCTTGATAGATGGAAAGTAGAGATACGACATTGGCAACTCACACTGAAACCAAACAAGCCAAAGTGTTGTGGCTTGTTTTTTGAACCAGCTCAATCTGTTAATGTGTAAACACTTCAGCTTGGCTGAATATTGGAATGAAATGTTTTGACACAACCAATTCAAAATGTTTGATGCCTTCCAGTTAGTTAACTTCAATATTGTGAAATATATCCTTCCCAAACTCCAACGATCCACAGCTGGGATAAATGCCAGTATTTGTTGTGCTCTGCTGTAAGGCAAAGCAGCCAGCTGCCATGGTACACCTGAGAATGCTCTTCAGAAATTTTTACTTTTGCTAATGGAAAGTGTTTGTCAAGCCAGAGTTTGTGGTTTAGCATCATCTTCTCAAACAAACAAGAAAACGCACAACAAAACACAACCACCTCTCTCTCAAACCTGCCAATGATGGGCAAACCCTGTTGGGTTTTTTTCCACCTGGGACCCTGCGAATTTTATTTTTGCCTTTTATAGAGATCCTAGATCATGCATCTTCCCTGGGCATGCAGTTCATAGAGTGAAGCCTGAAGTGTCTCCACCTTAGGGTTGTTCATGGCTGCATGGTACCATTCTCCCCTGAACTGGGTCACCCCAAAGTTGTTTCATAGATTCTCTGCCACTGCTGCTATTAACCTTGCAGAGCCCCTGCTTCTAGCCTGAGCTAGAGTACTGCCAGACCTAGTCAAGATATGGCAGCCACTTGGAGAAATGCATCATATCAGACCCAGACTTGTTCATATCAGCTCTAAGTGCATAAGCCGAAGTAGCACAGTCTGGTGTCTCCACCTTCCCTTCAAATATAGGCCTTATTTCTGAGGATCTTTCTAGATATCTGATCAAAATATCTTCTGCTTCAACAATGCACACACAGTGAAGCTAAAACACTTCTACTAAGCCAAGTTAAATCCACTGAGTTAACCAGCAAGAACAGCTGATAAAAAACATTTGTTGGTTTTTCCCATCTGTCCTTAAGGTCTGTAAGCCTTAAGAACGGTCCTTCACTGTCTTCTCCTTAAATGCACAGGTTTGCTTCCCTGCAGGGAAGATCATTCAGAGCAGACAGCTTCTGAATAAGCAGAAAAGCCTTCCATGAAGGCCACCTATATATGGCAAGGAAGAGGTTTGCCAGGCACAGGACAGTGATATCCTGTGATATCACAAATATGACGGTGATATAAGCGATGTGATATCCCTCTTCAGCCAAGCAGCTCACTTGTTTCATCTCACTTATCCACAGGTGGCGTGACCATCCAGAGTACCCCTTCAGCGATGAATACTGAAAACAAGGTGCATCTGGGCAGTTTCCAAACTTGGTGCCACTGGGCATTGCTGAAAGGGACCCAGCGTTTGGTGCTTTGACTTCATTGGAGACTGTTAAAATCAGCATTAAAAACATGACATTTACTTTCTCCTGTCTTGTCAGTCTCTTATTGCTACTGAAGAGCGTATCTATTTAACCTATTGAATCTCTGGTTTTGGCTTAGGAGATTGAAGCTTCAAAAACTGTCAGCTGATAAAATTGAAGATTTCTCTTGAAAAACAGACTTACTAGCTCAAACCAAGTCATTTTCACTCAATGGCGCATTCTTTGCTGAATTTGAAACAAGAAGTTCTGCTTCAGTAGATGTGAAGCAGTACCATTTTGTTTCACAGCTCAAGTGAAAGTTAGGAGCAGGGAACTAATTGGATGATATAACAATATACATAAAATTATATCCACTGCTTCATGCAGTGAAGCCTGTTTCACTCTGACCAGAGAATTCTTCAGCTGCATACATGGGCTGCATTTTGCAGCTACACACCAGATGGATTCACATGCAACTAGTTCAAGCTGTAATGCATTATAAGCATGTTCATATCTCCTCCATCTCAGCTGATGACCTCAGTGAAACACAGGAGAGTGTATGACTATTTCATTAATATTTGAGCTGTTATAGGAGGATGATATTGCATAGCATTCCTTAAGCAACCTGGTGCCATCCTGGAGTTAACAGTAAGAGAGCTTCATCTCATGAAGTTAAAAAGCCCTTAAACTTCTTTCCTGCTCCACAAACTGATATTCACCAAAAAAATATTCAGTTATTCAGTTCACTTCTAAATTCATAGAATATCAGGTTGAAAACCACCTCAAGGAGCATCTGGTCCAATCCTTCTAGACAAGGCATGACCTAGAGTGAGCCAGTACCCTGTCTGGCCAAATCTTACAGGTGTTAAATTAAATTGCAAGTTAAGATTCTTGAAGTCTCTTGTATGAACTCCTGACCAAGACAATAATGAATTTGGAAAATAAGTGCTAAAAGAGGAGGAAATCATATTTTGTTAGATACCACTTCCTACTGTACTTTGAGACTGCAGAACACTAGTAGGCCCAAGAAAGGATAAGAATTGGACAGAAGCATCCAGGTTAGAACCTGGACATTTCCCTCAATCTGTGCTTAGCCCTCTGAAACATGGGCACAAAAGCATGAGCACCAGGGTAAGAAAGACTAATTCCTTCAAAATTAATTTCTTCTTCAGACCACTTGTTCGCTCAACAAGTTTTGCAGCCTATAGGTGCGTCAGCCTATACCCACATCTGCAGAAGGCTTCTTTCCCTCCCTCCTGTGCCCAAACACTTCAGTTTCCTGCCAGGGAGATGCTAGAAGTACTGGAGAAGAAACTAAACCATACACAGATTACTTCATGCATTAAAACATACATACTGTCACGGGTGGAAAATGGGTCATACACAAGCTTTCGTCTATAGCATTTGCTTCTATTCATTACTATTGCTATTTATTATCCCTGGAGTGACCGCAATGAGAAAATGCCACAGTATACAGTTCATGGAGGCACTTTTGTTAGGTCAGGATGTGCTCCTCAGAGCTGAGGCAAAAGGTATAGGGGTGACCATTTCACAGGAGGAATAGACAATGCTCCAAATGGTCTAGCACAAACACACCCATGGACAAGCTCAGTGGGCACCACTAGACAAGTCAGGCCCCTTCCAACAGGGGTGGCCTTCACACAGCATTTATAAATGCATTTATAAATGCATTTATAAAACTATGCCAACAAAGGAGCTTTCTGCTTGCTGAAGGTTACTCAAGGGCAGTTCCCGTTTTATTCTATTACCCACTTGGACCAGAGGGGGAAATAAAAACGGGGAGGTATAACTGAGGAGGACGACAACACATTATATATCTGCTGTGTAGCCCCAAGGACCATCTCAAGGTCAGGTGGAGCTTTGCTCCCAGGGGTGGTCAGAACCACTATCACAGCCCTGCTTTGCCCCTCTGCAAACAGCTGAAGTCCTGGCCAAAAGCCTGAACAAAATCCAAGTCTAAACTCAAATGCCATAGAAAAGGACACTTACCAGCATACCCAGTGTGTTATTCCAGTTGCTTCACAAGTATAAGCCTTAAATAGAGCAATCAGTGCTCAACTGCTTAACGGTAGCACTGTATAAATTTCTGCACTGTAACTTGACCAGGTGCAAGTCTGGCCGTGGCCAACGTTCAAGCTGGGGTTGGCAAAGCTCTTGTTTTCTACACTGCAAATGTCAACTAACTCTCAGCTTAAATGCTCACACCAGCCCCTTCACAGCTATGAGCTCTTTCCAGACATTCCCCCCCTCCTCCCTGAGGTTAGGCAGCACCTGAGGCTCTCAGTCTTCAAACCATACTGAGTTAACAGGCAGGATGGATTGCGAGTTCCTCCAGCCCAAGTCATGCCAGCAAATTCCTCCCTGCTCCATGCTAATAGAATCCTCCTTTGAATTGCCTCATTTAAATCTGATGGAAAAAAAAAAAAAAAAGATTCAGCCTCTTCCCAGGGGCAAATGCTCCCATGCTCCTTTCCATCGGTTATGAAACTGCTACTGACGTCTAGCCTAGTTTTTCCCTCTGCTTCGCTCAGTTTCAGACCGTTGCTTTCCATTGTTCTCCATCTTGCCCAACAAAGAAAAGGTTTAGAGGAGAGAAAATAAGCAGGCCTGCTGATGGGGACTTGGGAAAAACATTCCCCCACCAACTGCACAAACAGACACAAAACCCCCAAACCTCAGCCCCACATAAAATCTGCTTACAACTCGCAAATTTCAGAGGCGTATTGAATTCACTGCCTGGTGCAAAACATGTTGCTTGGAAGCACCCCATACAGCCCTGCTCCAACTGGAAGGGTCAGGAATGGACAAAGGGGGCCCCAGCACCTCCTGCTCCAATAGCAGTTGCACATGATAAGAACAGACCCAAACCTGTACTGGGAAAGCTTACTCACTTTTACAGTAAGTAACCTGAGCAGCTTGTTGCTCTTCCTGTAGCCACAAAGTGAAGTGAAGCCCAGACCAAAGAAGCTTGCTTCAACAATGCGCAAGTGACTTTATGGCAAAGAGAACAAGCGATGCGGTGTTTTAGATTCTTTTTGCATCCCAAGAGCTGCTCTGGTCTGGCCAGCAGAAACTCAGGTGATGCGCTCGCATCCACAGCAGCAAAACTGTTGCCACAGCTGTACATTAGACCATGGGCTTATCTGGCTGTTGGAGGAAGAGACATTCCCTGTTGTTACACAAGCTCAGGGCAGAGGGCAAAGCTTTAGGGCTGCAGCAGCTGAGCCCTTCCTTCAGCAAGTACATGCATGCTCACTCACACTTCATAAGTGAAGCAACAAGGAAACACTGTCATGCAGTTACTGTACAACATGCTGACCTTCATCCTGCACTATATGGTTAACTGAATGTTCCCCCATGGGGAGGCAGAGCTTCATCTTTCCCTAACCTAAATATCTGGAATGCGACTGTTTCAGAAGAGACAGGTAGCCAGTTTTCCCTGATGCTGTGCAGGTCCCCACAAGAGGAACAGGGAAAACCATTAGAGGCCAAGTGGGATAGGCCCTGTGTCCATTTTACAGCCTTAAAGCATGCCCTTTGGATTTATATTGCATATTTTTATAGCACAAAGCTATCAAGAGGTTTTACAAGTATTATCATGTGTCTTGTGGAGGAAACAGTGAGTAGCCATACCAAGCCACCAGTCAGAATTAGGACATTGTTTTGGGTATGCAGAACTGGACACAGGGGAAAGGAAGGAAGTACCTTCCATAGTTCTCATCCCTTGCCTGCCACGAAGGCCTACATGCCACAGAGCTGGGTGCTCTGCACTAAAAACAGGATCTCTCTTCTCCTGGGAAAGGACAGAAAGCAAGTCTTGCAAACAGTAGGAGAGTCTCAGAGGCCACAAAAGACAAAGCTTTTGGTTACATACAGCGTGTATATCATCACCAGATGAGGCTTCCTCCCTTCATTCCTTTCTTGAATCTAACAAACCCAAAAGCTGCTCACCTCCAGCCTGGCAGCATATTTAACCATTACCATATCCTCAGGACATGCAAAGGAATTCAACAGCAGAAAGGACATTTTCCTTGACTAATTAAGATTGCCTCGTAATCAGAATGGGAACTGATCCTTCAGTCTAGTGTGTGAGTCACAAGTGAGCAGAGAGGACAAACTCTGATCCCACACATACAGTAAACCCAATTTGTAGAATTAAGATGAGATACCACCCTCCTCACTGTAAGTAACACCAAAGTCCCCTTATTATATCTACCAAATTGAAACACTGAAATAAAACACTTTGGTATTTGCAAGTCAATTCCCTTATTTTCTGGGGGAAAGGAGGGAGGAAACTGCTCTTTTCTAGACTTATTTTGCCTTGCTCTCAAGAGGACACAATTTATGCACCCAGAAGAAAACACCGAGGTGGAGAAGAAAGTCTGTAAGACAGTGACACATTAGAATGAAGTTCAACATGCTTATTTCACTTATGACCTAAACTGCAAACACATTTGCCTTTGAGGGTGGGATAATCAGCACACAGCTGGGTATTAGTACAATTTTCATACTAATTTATCCTCAGCAGTGCCATATTTCAGCTGTTCCCAACATCCCACTACCCTGGAGCAAAAACCCTAGCCTATAATAATGGGCTCTGAGAGTCCGAAAAACAAAAAAGTTAAATTTAATTTTTCAATGCCAGACGGACTCCTCGGGGAACCCTAACTCAACATGCATGAGCAATACTCACAACAGGACAACACATTGCAAATAAAATGCAAAGCAGAACCAAATGGAAAAAGAGGAGGGAGAGAAGGAACTGAAAAAAAGACGACGCACGTGTGTGTGTAAATGCATACACATGCACACAGAGAGGCACCACTTGATGAAGCTTCTCAGTTTTTGCTCTGTAGACGGCAAAGGCTCCTGGATGGAGGCCTCAGATCAGCCCAAGGTCATTGAACATTGATTTAGGATTTCTACTTATTTTTTATAGACATGGCATTTGGAGAACACCACCAATCATTAATTCCTTCGGCAACCTACACCTCTCCATGCCTAAGACCACCAAGTCACTTGGCTCATGCCCCTATGTTTA